AATGGCATTTAGAATTTTGCATTTGAAGTAAGTTAAATTTAAGTGACATTTAAAAAAAAATTTTTTTAACGTTTATTTATTTTTGAGACAGAGAGAGACAGAGCATGAACGGGGGAGGGTCAGAGAGACTGGGAGACACAGAATATGAAGCAGGCTCCAGGCTCTGAGCCATCAGCCCAGAGCCAGACGCGGTGCTCAAACTCACAGATGACGAGATCGTGACCTGAGCTGAAGTCGGACGCTTAACCGACTGAGCCACCCAGGTGCCCCTTAAATGACATTTTAAAAACTCCCTTTTTTATCTCTGGAAATCCCTGAAGTCCATGCTGTCTGGTATTGATATAGTCAGTATATCTTTTTTTATGATTAGTGTCTCATGCTTAAGTTTCCCTATCCATTTAGTTTTAATCTACCTATTTTTCTGAACTGAATCGAGTGGGGTCTTCTTTTCCCCTTCTGGCCTGACAGTCTCTCTCTTTCCACCAATATCCTTAATGCATTTAAATATAATATAATTATGGGCATAGTGAATTATTTTCTGTGTTTTCCATGCCTTCTTATTCCTTTTTCCCTATTTCTCTGTCTTCTATTTTTTAGCCTTACACTTACTCTCTTTTATTTGCTTATTAGCTACATATAACTCTTGTTTTATATCTTTAATGGTCACTTTAGGATTTACAAAATGCATTTTTTAACTTCTTACACTCTCTTTTCAAATTATATTATACCATTTTACATATAATATAAGTTCCTTAAAACAGTGTGCTTCCCTCTACCTGCTTCTCCTCCTTTTTGCTATTATGCATTTTATTTCTACATTCCGTCTAATCACTTTATTTCTACATATGCTTTAATCACCAAAACAGATGTAATCATTTTTACCTTAAAGCCAATCATCCTATAAAGAACGGATTAACGAAAAAGCTTACTTAAGTATTTTTATGCATTTACTGGTGCCAACATTCTTCAGGCCTTCACATAGACACCCATTTCCACCTGGAACCATGTCCTTTCCACTTGAAGAACATCTGTCCTTTTACATTTTTTTTCTTAATGTTTATTTATTTACTTTGAGAGAGAGACAGACAGAGAATCCCAAGCAGGCTCTGCACTGACAGAGCAGAGCCCGATGTAGGGCTTGATCTCATGAACCGTAAGATCATGACCTGAAATCAAGAGTCAGATGCTAACCCGACTGAGCCACCCAGGTGCCCCTGTGCTTTTTCATTTCTTGCAGAGCAACTCTGCTGGCAGAAAAATTATCAAATTTTGTTTTTCTGAGAGTGTATTTTTTTTTCCTTTCTGAAGGATATTTTCACTGGATATAGAATTCTATATTTTGTTTGGTTTTCCTTTTTTTTTTTATTTTCTTCTTTCACTTTCAAGGTAATGTTTCATTGTCTTCTGGCTTGTATTAGTTCTGATAGTATATCCAGAAAGTTTGTAATCCTTTTTCCTTATATATAATGTGCCTTTTTCCTCTCTGGCCAATTTTAAGATTATTCTTCACATCATTGGATTCCAGCAGTTTGATTATGATATGCCTTGGTATGGCTTTCTTTGTGCTTATCATGCTTGGGTTCCCTTGTACTGAATAGTACAGTAAGTTTATGGTGTTCATCAAATATGGAAAAAATTGGTGCATTACGTCTTCAAATAATTTTTCTGCCTACCACCTATTCTCTGGGATGCCAATTATACCAATGTGAGTTTATCACATTTCCTGTGAGTCTCTTCACTTTTTCAGACTTTATTTTTCTCTTTGAATTCCAATTAGTTTCTAATCTATCAGCTGCTCTTCAAGTGTACTGTATTATTTTTCAATGTCTAATCTGCTCTTAAGCCCATTTAGTGAATTTATTGTTTCAGAGATTTTGTGTTTCTATTGTGAGAAATTTGATTTGCTCTTGTTCTTACAGTTTCCATTTTTCTCTTTAATATTACAGATTTTTCTTTAAATTCTTGTGCATACTGAACATATATAATAGTTGGGGTTTTTTTTAAGTCTTGGTCTGCTGGTTTCATCATCTCTCTGATTTCTGGGTCTCATTTTATTAACAGATTTTTTCCCCCTGATTCTGGGTCACATTTTCTGACTCCTTCACATATCTAGTAATTTTTTGGTTGGATGCTGGACACTGTTAATGTGACAGTTCCGAATGGCTGTTGTTTTTTATTGAGTGTTGAGTTTTATTTTGCTGCCCACTCAATTTAATTTCACATCAGCTTAACTTCTTGTAGCTTTTATAAAGGCTTTGTTAGGGTGGGTCCAGTGTGGCCTTTATTCTGGGACTAGTCCAGCCTTATTTCTAAAGTGCACATTTTCTAAGTGCTCCACTGAAGTCTCTGTGTGTTCAGTAAGACCTACCCACTCTGAATGAATAGAACTCGTATGTCTTCCAACCTTACATGAGATCCAGGAGCTGTATAGTTTCCAGGCCCTATGTAGTTGCTTTTTCCCAGCCTTGAGGAATCTCACCACACTTATTTACACCTTGGTATTTAGCCACAGGCTCAAAGGAACACCTCAGCAGATTTTTGGAGCTTGACTCTGTGTAGCTCCCTCTTCTCCAGTACTCCATAAAACAGATTCCAGATGCCTTAGCCAATTTGAACTCCATTCTCTGTGTCGTCATCTCACTGAAGCCGTTTCTATCTGTGCTTTTCTTGAGTTCCCCTTCCCTGTGGTTTGGTCTAGTAAAAATCTTCAGGCAGAAAGTCAAACAATTTTAGAGATCTCATTTGTTCTCCTTCTCTTAGGGACCTCAGTTCTCTCCTGACATTGTCCAGTGTCTGAAAACAGTTGTTTCATATATTTTTAGTTTTCTCATTGTTTAAAGTGGGGGAGTTAGTACACTTCCATTTTTTAAGGTATGACCAGAAACAGGTTTTCTAAAAACCCATTTTAAAGCTAATGAATTAGAAACAAAAACATAAAATAAGAAACATCACATACACAGAGTGTTAATTCTTCATATGAGGTTGCTATTAAGCTTATAAATTATGTGGATTTTCAGGTACCTGTGTGTTCCATTTTGAGGGGAATGCAGAATTCCAGAAATGTCAGTTGAGTCTAAACATTATACTATAGCCACCCCCGGAAGGTTTTTAAAGGCATTTTTATTAGAGATTTTCAGGAAATGTTTCTTTATAATTATGTCCTGAGTATATGTTGAAATACAGGAACAATATGGAATTATATGGACCACAGTTACCAATCTAGGCCAAAAAGATTTCTTAAAATATTTAATAGATTTTAGAGAAATATAAGGAAATATTTTATCTTTTAGGCAAAATCATTTTTTAAATCAGTTTAGCATTATCTGAAGTATATCCATTTGTAGATGGTAATAGCTATTTGCAAAGTGGTAAGAGTTTTCTGTCACCATTATTTCCCTCTCAAATTTAAAATTCAAGGTAAAAGTGAATACTTACATATTTTTCATAAAATATTAAGCATATATGTTTTCAGATTTATCTAAAATGTACTTTATGGATAGTACATAATAATCTTATTATTTGGTAGAAATTAATATTGATAAGGTAAAATTTCAAAAATTTTGTTGATACATCACTTATAAAGTGGAAATATTAGCACCAGAAAAATCCCTCAGTGGACCAGAAAAGCCTTAATAGAGAATCAATAATTTATTTTGTTAATTAAAAATTTTAAATGCAAATGCAAATGACTCATAAGCAAATGAAAAATACCTTTAACCCCAATAGCAACTAAACAAGAGATTTTTTTTAAATCTATCTTGTTCATAATTTAACTCCTGGTATTTCTCCTCACACATGTTCTTTTGCTTGTCTTTCCCATCTCATTATTTGTTGTCATAACCCACCTGTTTTCTCATCCTAAAAGTGTTGCATCATACCTCATACTTCCTATCACCCACGACAGCCAAGTCATCATCACATATTATCAGTTTCACTCCAAAATGCCTCTTGGTATTTTTCTCCAATACCTGAATCCAAGCTACCATTACTTTCAGTTGGGCTACTGTGTTAATGTTATATACTGTCTTCCCCATCCAAATTTGCTCCATATCGGTCCATTTCTATACAACATTGTTCACAAACTTTTATAGCTTTGTATTTTTTCTTAGGAAAAAAACCCTTAAAACATGAACAAGGCCTGTAAGGTCCGGCGATTCCTTAACCTCTCCAGCCTCCTCCTATGATCCCCTTCAGCGCATCTGGTGTCCTGCATACTTGCTCCCTGATTCTCACCAAGCTGTGACCTTTAAGGCCTTCCCATGTGTAGCTCTCTCGGTCTGGAATGTTCTTTCTCTGCTTCTCTTTTCCCCTGGTTAACATCCTCAGGAAATGATATCTTTCAGACAGGTTTTCTTCATTCTTCCCACACGAGTTTCAGCGTGTTCCAGTTAGATTAGAAGTTCAATAAAGCCAGATAACATATTTATAATTGTTAATTTGGGGAGGTCCCAGAAGTTTTGAGCATTTCCTACTTTATAGCTGATAGCTGATAACTGTTCAGTCATGATGAAATATTATACAAGAAAAAGGTGCTTCCATGAGGTATTTGAAGCTGGGTACTCTTGATCACTGTTACAGAAGCCTAAATTGATGCAACATTTGTGAAAATCAATTTAAAAATATTTCTCACAGTCTTTAAATGTTTAACATATTTGGGTCTGTAATTCCAAATCTAGGATTCTGTCTGAGGCAAATATTCAGATATACACATTATACGGTACATTTATCTGAGCATTATTTATAATATAAAAAACTTGGAGATGGTCAAATATTCAATCCATGAAGATTAGCTTAAACAATATTTAGGAAGATTTATTGGCTTACCTTATCAAAACATTTTCATAGAACTATGACATAAAAGCCTTCAATTAACCTTCATATAAATGTGTCTTAGAGAATTCAATTATGTGGAAGAGTCTGGAAGTTTCAATTAAAAAAAATCACTTGAAACAAAATAAGGACATGTTCAACTGTCATAATATTTTTGAACCTCTTTATAGCTCTACGCGACACTGGAAAGCAGTCTATTAATAGTGACTGGAAGATTGAACACTCGGGAGCATTCAACTTAGCGGGCACTACTGTTCATTATGTAAGACGAGGCCTCTGGGAGAAGATCTCCGCCAAAGGTCCTACCACATCACCTCTACACCTCCTGGTATGAGGGGACGAACTGATGACATTGCATAATCCGATTCCTATGGCAAAGGGCTTTCCCAATGTACCTTGTCTAATCTTTTTTCCAAGGTTGAATTGTCAGGTAGACATTCAAAGTTATCCGAGAGGTGGGTTTTTAGGTTTTCATTTTAATGTATTCTTTTTTTTTTTTAACGTTTATTTATTTTTGAGACAGAGAGAGACAGAGCATGAATGGGGGAGGGTCAGAGAGAGAGGGAGACACAGAATCCGAAACAGGCTCCAGGCTCCGAGCGGTCAGCACAGAGCCTGACGCGGGGCGCGAACCCACGGACCGCGAGATCATGACCTGAGCCGAAGTCGGACGCCCAACCGACCGAGCCACCCAGGCTCCCCTCATTTTAATGTATTCTAAATCACGATGTCAAAGCCAGAAATTACTGGGGGAAGAACAAGATGTTTTAGGGAATTCACGGACTCAAAGTAGAAGCAAATCATCAGGCAAGAAGGAGCCTATTTTTTCTAAGAGGAATTTTACTAACAGCATCTTAGTGAATCGCTAACCAGAGTGGATGTCTGTAAAGACAGTGTTATAGTGTGGCCAATCATAGCAGTTCAAGCATCGATGGAATGGGCATTTTCTGAATCTATATAAAATGCCTTTGATAAAATGCCTTTGATAAAATCCCTGGGAAAAGATTTGGTAAACACGTCTAACAGTGCTTCCAATCACCCTCTTCTGTTCTCTTATAGGTGAATTGATTCCTGTAAAGAATTAGGAAAATTTGAGTGTTTCTTACTACCATGTAGTAAAAGACTCAGTATGAGGCAGGACCGAGTATGAAGTGAAGGGAGCAGAACGCTGGGGCTCTGCGTCCCAGCTGGTGGCCGGTTCACATGCCCCTTTTGACCTTGATCTTTGCAGTCACTGGTAATGCCTCGGTAGCCAAGCACTCACTGCACAACTGGCACGTTCTCCATCTTAGTGGCAAAGTCTGAAATTCAGACACTTCAACACCTCCTTAAGTCCACACATAAAAACAACTCTAAAACACAATCAACTGACTGTTTATTTGGAGTGTAGTGTGCCCCATTACTTAATATCGGCACACAATTTAAGTTTTGAATTTGTCTTCAATTGGAGACATCTGTGTTGCTGGTCTAGGAGCCAGAGGTTCAAATCACATATCAGCCCGTTTGCTTTTTCTGCTTTAATGTTCCTGCAGATCACCTGGGGTTCTTGTTCAAATGCCCATTCTGATTCGTTTCATCTGGGGTGGGACATGAGCTCTGCGTTTCTGACCAGCTCCCAGATGATGTCACTGCTGCTGGTCCAGTGACCACATTTCAGATAACAGTGTTTCATGGAACTGAAATCATAGACCTTACCAACAGGAAGGAAGGGAGCCAAGTGAGATGCATGGGGACCTTCTGCTCCAGATCTTAATAGTAATGATCATACATACCACTCACTGAGCCCTGAGTCAGACACTGTTCCAAAGGGCTTTGCCAAAGGGCTTCATTAAAGCATTTAATCCTTACAGTAACCCTGAGTGATATGTATTATTACTGTTCCATTTCACAGATTAAAAAATAAACTTAGTATGAAATAGGTTAAGTAACGGGCACAGCGTCTCACTGTAAGTCATTCAGCTGTGAATAAACCAGGTGTTAATCAGTCTCTCCTGATATAAAGCTTAGATGTAAGTTCTTCACACCAGACAGCATGGGATCATAAGTATGCATATACTTTCAATCATTATGTTCTTCATCTCCTCACAGTTTCTTTGGATCCTGTTATTTAATTTGAATTGGAAACTCCACTCTGTGCCCTATGCCATCTGGAGAAAGAAAAAAAAAGTGACTTAACCAAACACTGTATGACCAACATCTGGCTCTTTCCATGATTGGGTCACTTATAATAACAACATTATCAACAACAAACCAATTTTTAATGCCTGGGTTGCAAAAAATGCCACCGGGTAACCTGCCTTATATGAATGTAACCTACATTTTTTATGGAACAAGACCGGTGCTCTTTATTAAGTCTCTAATTCAAAATCTTAAAACGGTCTGTGAGATCTCAGTGTTGGGCAGAGGAGTTTCCTTGCTGCAGAATCCTTAATCTGCCTGGTAATTACCAAGGTTTTTCCTGGAAGCATGAAGCATAATTAAAGTCAGTGAACTATGTCTAAAAGAAGGCATCTATGTGACCTGGATTTATTCAGTAATCCAAGGGAAACTGCACTTCTAAGATATTTTTCTTTAATGACTATTACAGATTGAAAGCCGGTACTGAATTTTGAAAGGCAATACCTTCTGCTGCCATGCTTCAAAATGTGCCCCTCAACTGTAACGCGGTCACACTTTCCTTCTCGCAGAGATACACTGCCAAACTCAGATGGTTTAAGAGCGAGCTAATGATTTTGTAGCCAATGTCTTTATTTTAAATGGCATTAGATATTCAAGGACAATCTAAAGTTCTATCAATGAAAAGGTAGTTTTTTAAGGAAAAAGAGACATGTTTTCATTAAATTAAAGAAGTTGGCAAATAGCTGTAATTTATGTTCCTTTTATCCCTTTAAAAACTATGTAATAGTCTGGTTATGTCCATAAACAAGATAAGTCAATCTCTATCTCTCTCTCTCTTAACTCATTTAGCCCCAAGTCACTTATAACTGGCAACATCAAATGCGATATTTAATGCCAAAATCAACACTGTGATGTACTTAGAATGAGTATCCCAGTATGTTATGTGTACGTGAATTTAAAAACTATTATTTTTATTGATACAACTGATTTATAATTCCAGTATGTTAGTTCCCAGATCCACATATTAAAATCTATCTTAGCATTTCTGTTGATAATATTGAGCAGAATATTGAGGGGAAAAAAGCAAAGAAAATTAACCCTGGGCTCGTAATTTTTTTTCCCATTGAGTGTTAACTGTAAATTACCTGTCATTACAACTCCCTTGATAGAGGTTTAATATCCAACAAAGTTCTTTAATAATTTAACAAAATATAAATTTTAAATAATGATTTATGCATGATATTGCATTGTATAGATTCTCAGATTCAAAGAAGTAATATGTTCCATGGAGTTGACATATTTTGTGTAAATGTACTTCTAAAGGAACATATATTCTCATTCATTCTTTCATTTAAAATGAATATACTTCAGGCATTTTTCTTTCATTTATTTTATTTTATTTTTTATTTTTTTAAAGTTTTTATTTTTTTTAGTTTATTTATTTACTTACTTAGAGAGATGGAGGGAGAGGCAGAGAGAGAGAGAGGGAGAGACAGAGAATCCCAAGCAGAATCCACACAGTCAGCATAGAGCCCGATGTGGGGCTCAATCTCACAAACCATGAGATCATGACCCAAGCTGAGATCAAGAGTCAGATGCTTAACCTACTCAACCACCCAGGCACCCCTCTTTCATTTAAAATAGACATGATTGCCCAAGATGATGTCCTTCTAATCTTGGCACTGGGCACCAGGGAGGAGCAAAACAGACATGGTCTCTGCTTATGTGCTAGTCCAGTGTGGCCCAGTGTGTAGTTATCCTCATGCATTTTTCTTGGTTTGTTGCACTGTTTACATATGTGTACCTAACTGTACCATTATTAAGTTAATATTTATTAAAGAGTTCATTTTAACAAAAATTTCTTTTCAAATGAAATGATCTTTGCTGCAAATGGAAAATCAGTAATCTTGCCAAAATTGGAAGTTAACTTTAAGCAACATGGAAAAATATTGTTGTTCTCTGGTTAATTTAGACATTCTCTATCCCTTCTGGGGAGAAGTGATTCCCAAAGTCTTCTATCCTCCTCCTCTACCAGTGACACAGGGACTTTCTGTCCATCTTTCTGTTTTATATGAGTGGAAGGTCTACGTTTGACATTAGATTATGGCTTATCTCTTGAAGTTAGGTAGGACAGATAGCCCCGTTCCCTCCACTAACTTCATCTTCTACATGTATCATAATTTGGGAAATTGCCTAGTCCATTCATAGATTAAAAAAAAAATGATCTGGTATCTCTGACCTCATTAAGTGGGCCATTTTTCATGTTGTCTTTAGCTCAGAGGTAAATGTGTAGCACCAGTCTTTTCAGAAGTATGACACTTCGATGATTTCAGTAATAATGTCACAATTCTGCATGTAAAAAGAGCATGTAATAAGTGTTTTAAGATATCGGTATCCTTGGTATTAGACTTCACATTGTCTGTGCTCTCCTTTAACCCATCTGCCTTGATCACTCTTATATATTATAGGTGCTGCTATTTCAAGACCAAAATTATGGTCTTCACTATGAATATACTATCCCGTCGGACCCTCTTCCAGAGAATCAGAGCTCAAAAGCACCCGAACCCCTTTTCATGTGGACGCACACAGGCTGGGAAGATTGTGATGCCACGTGTGGAGGAGGTGAAGGATTTTCCAATATTTATCTTACCAAAACTGTAGTTGTTTTCTGATTACTCACTGAGAATTAAGACAGCTCTGCAAACCCTTCTCTGAAATTCAAAGCTCCATAAAGGAGTGGAACCTGAAAGTTTTTTGTGACACATTTGGCCCCTAAAAGCCGAACTCTTCTGTGGCAAAATTGGACGTGATTTGAAAAAAGGCCATTTACAGTGATTCATTGCATTGCTTTGCGTAAATATTAATGCATTTGCTTGCAGGGTTGCCCTAGACCCCACACAAGCTGTTCCATCATGCATCATGCTTTTATAGTTACTTTCTGTATTTACTTTTTAATTTTCTAGAATCTTAACAGCTTCAAATTCTGGAGTACCTCTACCCACAAGAATTGTAGACCTGCAATAAATATAAGGGTCCTGTGAAGCAGCAGCCTCAAGCTTGCTTCTTTGCCACCTGCATACTTAGGGTGACTAGACGGAGCACATGGAGGACATCATTTCATTCCCCCCACTGCTTTCTTCCGATTTTTCAAAAGTATATGTCACTATTTTCTATAAAATATGGATGTATCTCAAAACTTCACTCACAGGTTTTAAATTATTTTTTCATGGTAGAACTTAAGGAGGCAAAAGCCCAAAATTACCTCGGCCTAAAATGTGCGCCTAGCAAATCACTTAATCCTACTAATGAGATCCTTGATTCCCAGAGATTCAACAGATTGTCACTCTCAGAGCCCGTTAGGCCAAGGCAAGATCTCAGGTCATGAGCAGCATAGTATTTCCGTTGTGCTTTGTACCTCATAACACATTTTCTATAGTTCTTTAGCAAGAGCTTCTTTTGAAGGCTAAAAGGAAACATTATATTCAATTATACCAAAATATAGAGAAGTGGAATATCAGTTTTGTTTTCCAGGCAAAGAAACTGTTGATATACATACCCTAAGTGTGCTGCGGCAGGAGCAGGCAAAGGTACAAACCAGACTAGCGTGTGGGGGAGAAGGTTTGGGGGAAAAGGAAAAGGAAAATATATAATACGAAGAAGTAATATAGTTTCAAAATGTGAAGAATACGCTCGATGAAAATTAAGCAAGAGAGAAAAATAAATACGGGTTGGGAGTTGGGAGGGGGTAGGTGCAGAAAATAGTCTGAGAAGGCCTCAGTGAGGACACCACACTGATTTAAAAATCTGTAGTGACTATGGATGGGCACAAGAGGGTGTCTGGTGGGGTGTCCGGTGGGAATGGGTTCCAGGCAAAGGTTCTGAGGTGGGAGTAGAGCTGGAATGCTCCAGGAATAGCAAGAATGCTAGCATGGTTCTCCTTTACTGAGTGATGTTATGTGCCATTAGAGGATTTGAATAGAGAAGTGGCTTATTCTGGTTTATGTTTTAAAAAGGTTTTTCTATGTCTGAGTTGAGACTAGATGGAATAAAAGAAAAGAGGAGAAGTAGATCAACCAGAAAGTTATTGCAATAATCTAAGAAAGAGATGATAATAGTTTGGCCACAGCGGTAGCAGTAGACATAGGAGGAAGTGGTCAGGTTCTATATATTTTTTAAAGTAGAATCAATAGAATCTGTTGAAAGGCTAGATGTGGAGTGTGAGAGAAAGAAAGATGTCAAGGATGACTGTGATGGCTTTGACCAAGCAACTGGCAGGACAAAGTCACCATCAACTTACCTAGGAAAGCCTGTGCAATAGCAGGATTAAGAAAGAGTTTGATTTCTAACAGAAGTGTGAGATCCCTATGGGACATCTAAGTGTGACATCAAGTAAGATATGTAAGTTGGGTGGCCGGGAGAGAAGATCAGACTAGAGATAGAAAATATATGGTAGGTATTCTAAAATGCTGAGGCTCAAGTCACCTAAGGAGTGAGTGAAGAGAGAGCGACGCTACTAAAGGATTGAGTCTTGGGACACTCTACTCTTTAGACTTCAGAGAGAGAAGGAAGCAGCAAAGCAGGTTAAAATGAGTAACCACCATCATAGGAGAAGAAGCAGGCAGAAGAGAGTGCTTTCAGCTAAAGTTGCTTTCAGCTCTTCCTGGGGACGAAAGAAGTATTGTAACATGGCGATCTGTCCCATTAAGCAGAATATAGGTCTTCAGTTTCTTTTGGGGGTTGGCACCCTCCTTACTCAAAGCTGTTTCCCAAAGGAACATTAGAAATCAAACATGGAGCAGGTCAGTGGCTTCTCTCTGGTGCCCCCAAAGGAGAGGTGCCGGGCTCAGCATGAGACGTGAGGGCATACAGGAAGAACCTCTAGAGGAAGTAAGTGAGAAAGTGATTACTCACTGAGAATTAAGACAGCTCTGCAAACCCTTCTCTGAAATTCCAAGCTCCATAAAGGAGTGGAACCTGAAAGTTTTTTGTGACACAAAAAAAAAAATGTAAGTGAGAAAATGTTATAAGAGGGATAGAATGATCAACTCTATCAAAAACTAACAGGTCAAAAATACTGTAGACTGAAAGTTGACTATTACATTCAAATATATTTATTATATTTTCAGATGTATTTATTTTATTTAAATATATTTATTATTATATTTTCAAATATATTTATTTGATTTAAATATATTTATTATATTTGAAATGTAGAGTCCAATGATGATCCTGACAAAAATAATTTTAATGAAGTAGTTGAGTCAAAAGATTAAATAGAGTGGATTCAAAAGAAAACAATCATGGTGTGAACTGGAGAAAAGACTCAAAGTAACTCAGGAAATCTTGCGGAGAGAGGAAAACAAAAATGTGGCAATAGCTGGAGGGGAATATGAGTCAAAGAGTTTGTTGTTGTTTTTAATAAGGGAGTCTATATATGATTGTTTGCCAATGTGCATTTTCTAGAATAGGACAAAAAACTAGTGATGCAAAGGAGAGAGCAAAAAAAAAAACTGCTGTTGTGATATCCTTGAGTAGGCAAGATTGGATAGAGGGAGTAGTTGACTACCTAGAAATATGGACAGCACATCCCTCGTAACAGGAGAAAGGACAGTATCTGAGCAGCAACAGGTGTCACGAGCTTATCCTTAAAGAACATCTTGCTGAGCATGAAGGTGGAACAGAAGACATTAGAATTTTGAAGAGTGATGTGAATGGTCACTTAAGACAATGAGAGAATGAATGAATTGGGTCCGTGTATTTTGATTTTTCAATAGCTTTCATGGTTCACTTGAAGTTAAGGGTCATGAATTTAGTGTGACTCCAGTCATCATAATAATATGTTGCCCTCCAGCTGTGTACAGCATTTAGATACACTTGTGAGTACGTTTGGAAATTGCCAGGTGAGTATAATAAAATGAGAGAACATGGTCCCAAGGTTGAATGCAAGGAGTTGAAAATGGTTGACCGTGGAATTTAGTTGTATAAGGAAGAAGGTAAAGGTATGAGGGGATTGAAAGACAGTAGAAAGGTGGTAGGACTGACAGACGACACAGCTCAGTGTGGGGCTAAAGAACTTTTAGACTTGGGGTACTCAAGGAGAAGGACTGGAAGTACAGGAGATGGTGACAGAAAATAGAGGTTAGGTTACGGAGGGGTTATAGTTTTGGTAATAACAAAATGAGGAAAATTGGTGGCTTGAGTAAAGTGAAAGGCAAGATCTCTGGGTAGGGATCCATTCAAATGAATACTGTAAACACAAAAATAGTGCCAGGGGCAGTGTTAGCAAATATCACAATCACCTAGAAGATAAAATCTTAGAGAGAGGGAGTGACCTAGGAGTTGATGCAGCAGCAAGGAAAATGTGTCACAGAGTCTGATCCAAAGGTGTAGGTTTAAAAAGAAGAAAGGGAAGATGGTCTGGTCATAGCAGTGAAGAGCTTGGACAGCCATGCCACCTCTCCATCCAAAGGTGTGGGACCTAAGTAAGAAAATGGCCACCCCGCTGGAAGTACAACAAACAGTACCCTCAGGAGAGAGGGGGAAAAGGTGGCAAGAACATGTAGAGGTACAGAGGATAGGGAAGAGGATTCCTGCCAGAAAGCTCAGAGCCTTTGGGTTCCCAGCCAACTGCTAGTACACCTGGCCCTCTCAGGTAGCCAGAGCAAAAGCAACATGGGGGACAAGAGAAGGAGAAGACACAGGACATACTTTGCTCCTGAGGATATAGAGTAATTACATGGAAAGGATGTCAAATTTCTCTAGCAATTATAAAAAATGCTACCAGTCATCCTTGCCACAGTGAAGTTTTCATTGACCATGTTTCTCCAGGGACCCCATTATCGCCAAGTGACTTGGGATCCTCTGCCCCCCTGTCTTCTCTTGCTAGTGGTCCCATAAACACACAAAGTCCTGTTCCTCTGTTCCACCCATTCTTTAGTGATGCCAGGGCCCATTACAATTAGGGGGTTCTGCTTTATATCGTCTATCCAAATAAAAACCAGAAGCAAAATTAGAAACAAATACATTTGAAATGAAAATCTGTACAATTAGAATTTTCTCTTTAATACAACTCAGATAAAAGGAAGACCCGCCCCCATCCAATGGTGAGCTGCAGGGCAGTAGAGTGATGACAGGGTTGATAGTTCTTGTTAGACCCCTGAAAGGCATTCATTAAAATCTGTTTGTATTTGAAACTCTAAACAGAAAAATGTTTGCCCAGTAAATTTCGTTTTCCTCATTTTTTTTTCTTTCTTCTGCAATTGCAGTCAAAAAGGAGCTACATTAGAAGTAAACATACAGAATTTGTCAATCCTCATTTTGAATAAACAAATTTATGGGGGAGGGGTGGTTAAATTTTTTTTTTCCCAAAATCACATTCATTACAATCTAGATTGTGTTTTGCCAATTGCCAAACCTTAAGGAATAGAGATTTGCTACGTCTAGATATTCTTAAACATAACTTCTTAATTATCAATATGAGAAAATTTAAATGTGTAAAGATTAAGGGACTTCCCAAGGCCACATGCCCTGTGGGAGCAGAGTTCAAGTTAGAATCCAGGACTCCTAAACTCAAATCTTCTCTCTTCCTCACATCATATTTTCTTCAAGAGCAGCTCAAAAGG